CCGGGCGGCGACAATTTTGCATCTGCTTTTCTGGCTTTCCGAGCAACTATACCACCCCCATTTCTTCGTTATCCAATAATGGGCTTCATTTTCACCGTTCATACCCTCGCCTGGCTCTTGGGCCTGGCTCATTGGAAATTCTTCGAGTTCTTGCGTGTTGTCATGATCAAGCCTACGTGGCTTCCGTGGATGATATCCTCACGACACGGATACTCCAGTCCTCAACTATTTATCTATTCGAAAACGGATCATACCGTACCGTTCAAAGACATCCAGGAATTCACAGAAAATTCAGAGGCCCGCGGAAATCAGATTCAACGGCTCATCTTCGAGGATTCAGATCACGTATCCCATATGCGCAAGCACCCAGAGACATACTGGAATGCAATCAAACAGTGCTGGATCACATCGGCCAACTCTGCAAGAGCAGCAGCTCAATCAAGCACTTGATACGACTCAAAATCAACGTAATAATGTTAGAATGCAAATCATACATTTATTTGGGCGCATAGCGCATAGTTCAAGACATGTATACACATAGCTACGCGATGCTGGCCAGAATAGACGGTTTTTTTAGACTCTTGATGAATAGGAAACTTGGAAACTCATTGGGCTCTCACCATCAAGGTGACGAGCTAAAAGCTGACATGACGTGATGACCTAGAAAGGACGATGGATCTAGCAATAATTTTATAAGACTTTTCAACCAAGTAATGAAGTCGGCTCTTACCTTGGATCGAATGGCTGTATGATTAGGCCTGCTTCACTTCTTCCTCTGTATCGAAGCCTCGGGACATGTGCTGAAAGTGCGGCGTAACTGGGCTGGGTTCCTCAGAAGAGAGAAGAGGAGAAGTGGGTGATAGAGCAGGGAGTAGAGTGGGAACCTGACCACTGGCCCCGCTTCCGGAGTCCATTAGCCCACCTCCAGAACGACCAAAGTCTAGTCCTGGTAGAATAGGAGGCGGAATCTTGATTCCTGGACGATAGATTCGACCGTGCGATGGTTTATTGAAAGATTGGCCTTTACCTGCTGTCGATGATATGGGATTAGCGGCACTTTGAGCACTACTGAGACGCTGCATTGGGCTCATGTTGAGGAACGGAGCGGCGTTACCATCTTCGCTTCCCATCCATTTTCTATCAGACGATAACTTTGGTTCCAGGGGCTGTAGACTACTCTCAAACGTCGTAGCGGCATTCACTGATCCCATGAAGTGATCTTGAGCGAGTACTGCAGCTTGCAGAAGACGAAGTGCTTGTTCAGGCGTGGTGTAAGGGAGCTGGAGTTGTGGTGGTTGCAATTGAGAGAGATCTTGAAGATGGAGAGGTTGAGAGGTCGAGAAACCACCGGCGGTGATAGTGCCTGGAGCAAATTTGTGAACACCGGCATTAATTCCTGGAACCGCAGACATCTCGCTGGTGCTGGAGGCAACACGAGAGACTGCTTCCACGGACGAGGGGAAGATGGAAGAGCGAAGAGTATCAACCAGATGGGCATAGGATGGACCGCTCCCTACTTGGCGTTGTGCCGTCTTATTGAGATCTCCGAGGCCATGCTCCTTGTTGAATCGAGGTGGTTGGAAAGGACTAGCTTCCCGTTGCTCATTGCTCATCGAGGATGTAATCTTGAGCGAGTCAACCAGACGACTAAAGTCATCAAGTTGAATGTTGTGATGCTGATAGACACCTAGCGCAGGCTGGGGCATTCCATGATCAGATTGAGCTTCTGGAAGGGGGCCAGCTAATTGTGGCGGCGACAGATCGACTTGGGAAGGAATACTGGATGGGATCAAGGAGGTAGGTCCCGATGCCTGTATTTTCCGTTAATAAAATACAATTATGACGCAAATATGACATACCATAGTGTTCCCAGAGCCTATAAGCTGAACTGTGAGCTTCTCTGACCACCCGAGAACGGTGGACCCGTGGAGACGCTCAATTATATCTTCTGCTGCATGCTTTCCTTCGAGCCTGTTGAAGGGTCAGAGGGATTCTAGGGGCGGACTAATGTTTTACTATACCTGACGAATCCTACTAAACGACGTGGTGTTCCGGTTGTATGGAAAAACTTGCTAGCTTTGATCGTATGCGGTAGAAAGAGCGTACGGAAAGTCTGATGAGATTTGAGTTGGTTTCTGCATATATCAATCAAATTCATACCCTCATGTCTATAGTAAGAGGCAAGCCAGTTATCGAGATATCGGCATAGCTCTCGTTATGTGATACGGGAATAATAGGGTCGGATATAGCGTGCTTGGCATTAGTAGTCCCAGGAACTTTCATAGTCTGCCGAGAGTTAGGCGTTATAAGTGGAGAAGCGAGCATCACTAACCTTTGCAAAAGACGGGTGGAATTGGGTGTGTTGGCGTATTGTTAGGATGAACCGTTCGGCATCTTCAACACAGTTAAACCTAAACAACATAGTCAGAGTTGCCTCAACACAACAGAGCGACATACAGAACAAATCCATAGGCTGAGGGCTTATCTTCGAGATGACGGGTAAACATCTTGACGCTTTTCACAGCCCCGAAACCCCTCGTAAGACGATAGAGGTCATCGTCAGTCCATCGTAGAGGGAGACCGTTGATATAAACATTCGTAGTACTGAGAAAGGTGAGTTCAGTCATCTGACCAAGGAATCAGTGAATGAATCACGTACTTGAGTGGGTTGTCCAAAGGGTCCGGCTTCGGGATAGGGGCTGCTGGCTTCGATCGCTCTACACCTCTAGTCCTGAGTTCTATTTGATCGTCGTGTTGGCTCGGCTCTTCATCTATGACGGGAAGTTCTACTGCAGTGAGAGCGATAGATAAGTCGGAAGGAGCGATGGGCTTGTCATGTTCCTCATCATGTGGGGTTCCATGTTCTTCCTTGATAGAGTTGCGAGGGAGAAATTGCTGCTGCTTTTGTTGGAGACGATGGAATGTAAAAGTGGAGGATGGATCCTTGTGTGTAGAAGGACGGGGACGGGGATTCACCACAGAAGAATTAAAATTTGCGTTCTTGAGGGGAACGATTGTCGATGATGTCGAATGTTGTTGCTGTTGCTGCTTCTGAATGGCTTGAGAATACAGCGCAGATTGGGCCATAATCTTCTCAGCCAAAGAGACCTTCACCGAGGGTTCGGTTGCACCGGAAGCTACCGAGTTTTCCGCAGGGAGTGACTGAATGAGAGGGCGCTCTTCGGATGAGGGAGGAGTGAGCAAGCTAGCTGAGCGATGGGGGGTCTGATTGCTATGGAGATAACGTTCCGGCGTGTCGTTGATACTAATGTGCTGGACGATGTTTTGTAATACTTTGGAAGAAAAGGTGTTCGGCTTAAAGGGCGTGTCGACAGTAGTACGAGCAAAAATTGGGGAGGATGTCCTTCGACGCCAATTAACGACGGACGACAAAGAATTCAAACTAACTCACAAAGAAATAGATTTCTGTTTAGCGGCATCAGTCGACGAGACTAGAGATGTAGAGGAAGTGTCTGAGGGCGGATTGCCTTCGATCGGCTCCGGAGTCTTGACAGTCGGCGAATGCATTAGTGATGCTTCTACGCCTTGACACAAGGGCGACGGTCTGGAATCGGCAGTGATACGTGAAAGAAGTATGAAGAAATTGTATGTGATTTGTCGACTCAGATATACGAGGCTGTCAAGTTCAGGATAATTAGCAGTCTAGGAGCTTCAATGACAGACGGGAGTAAGGGTAGTAGGTGTACTGGCGGAAGCAAACTACAGGACGAATGATGGGTAGAGGTTGTTGCAAGGGGAGTAGATGAGAAAGAATACATACAATCGAGCTCAGTGTTCTTCGTGTTTGGGGAGGAGTGGCTATAGGAGTGGGCTATAGCGACAAGAGGCGTGTTGACGGTGCCAGTGAGTGAAAGAGCCTCGGAGATGGCAGTGACGAGATGGAAGTTGTCGAGCTCGTCCTCAACAATGAGTACGGTGCAAAAATGAGGTGGAAAGATGAGGGGGGGGGACAAGTTGTCTGAAGGGGCACCTCTAAACATTGCTCGTTCTTATAGTCGCGTCTGCAACCCCTGATCCAGAGAACCAACCCATCGGGTCCCCAATGAGAATCATCGATGATGTGTATTTCAACGCTGATGGACAGATTTACAGACCTTCATCAACAGCAAATCGATGGACACGGTCTGTCCACCTGTCACTGGACTTGAAACCCACAAGTCTGCATTGATCGCAGGCTAGGATTGGCCGCAACGTCATCTTCCATTCTTCACCTTCACATATTTTTGGAGGAAAAGTGGTGAGATGGATTTACACTGCGAGAATACAGCACCAGCAAGTGTTCATATTAGGATGGTTCGATCTGCTGATAAAAACTGGTTCTCTTGCATGAAAATGATCCTACTCTACGTTACGGCCATCCGTCAACCGGTTTAAGGCCTCTTCATAGCGGCGTCGCGTCTCGGAGACCACATTTGGATCTATCGTCCAACCTTGGCCATTGGGCCCCTTCTCTAGTCCTTTAACAAACCCAGCTTTGGTCAACCAATCACGTAGATATTGTTTATCGAAACTAGCTTGTGACTTTCCCTCGGCATAGCCATCGAATGGCCAAAAACGAGAAGAGTCTGGCGTCAACACTTCGTCCACGAGGATCACCTCCATCGGTTGTCCTTCGAGAACGAAAGGGGAGTTTGGGTCCTGGGAAGGAATGAGCCCAAACTCAAATTTGGTGTCGGCGATGATGACACCTCTGGTTTTGGCGTATTCTGCTGCACGCGTGTACAGCTCCAAAGCAGCAGAGGACACGCGATCGTAGATAGCAGCTCCTACAAGACGTTTAGCTATAAAACATTGTAAGATGAAAGTATATCATGAGCAACTGAATTGTCACCTTCGTCCGGGTGGATGTTCTCATCGTGTTGCCCGGCTTCTGCCTTTGTGGAAGGTGTAAAAACCGGCTCAGGTAATTTTTGTGATTCTCTTAGACCTTCTGGCAATTTTATTCCATGCATTGTTCCCTTGGACTTGTACTCTGCCCAGGCGGATCCTACAAGTGTTTCAGATATACAGCACAATGAATAAATCGACAATAGCTACACACCTGTAATATAACCACGGGTAATGGCCTCCAATGGAAGGACCTTGGCCTTCTTGACAAGCATGGACCGACCACGAATGACATTCGCGTGGACTTGAACGTCTGCTGGCATCTCATCCACTTCAGCCGTCATCAAATGGTTTGGGATGACATCTTTCAACTTTTCAAACCAGAAAAGGGACATTTTTGTCAAGATTTCTCCTTTGTTTGGGATCCCCTAGAATGTCAAAAGCAATCAGGGGACCGCATCAGTCAAGATGGTCGAACTTTTCCGAGTATTTGAATATGCATACATTATTAAGGACAACATCGTAAGCCGAGATGCGATCGCTTGCCACAAAGAGCAAGGCGGTAGGGTCTGAGGTCTCGTAGACGTCTCTCACTTTACCTCTTGAAAGTAATTTGAGTCCATCAAGAGTTATATCTGTGAGGGCTTCCGGACTTGACATTTGGTTGAGGTTTAAGACTGATCGTCGCTTAATCGTCGCCAAACTCAGCAGCTTCGACGATTCTACGTGAATGCGAATGTCCCCCTCTATTCTATCAAGTTATGTCTAGGAATTATAATAGATTTGATGCATGAGCGATAAATTATCGTTCAACCGACGCCAGCCATGACCTCCGAATGACCTCTCCCAAGTGACCTGCCACGCTAAAGATTCTAAATGATCCTCAGATCTTTTGTGCGCTGTCTAGCATATTGATCCTTATACTTTTCCCATATCCTAAAATGTGGATTGGTCAGAATGACTGGGTGTAGTAGTTCATTACTTGGTGCTGACCTTTTTAATTCCTCAATGTAGAGAGCGTGTACCTCAAGTACTTTTTCCATCGAAGGTTGTTCAACCTTTGTCACTGGTATAGGACGACCGAAAACCGACACGATAGTACGCCGGTAAGGCATTAAACCAAAATTATCTGCCCAAAATGAACTATAAATAGATATGCTTTAGAGAAGGATGAGGTACTCACAATTCAAAATCCCGCGTCCATGAAATAGTGGAAGGGTGAAGCCAAAGATACTTTGAAAATGCTTCTGAATCGTATATAGAGTCGTTCCTTTCTCATTGGGCATTTGTTCGTAGATCTATGTCACAGTTAGTACATAGACATGTGAATTTGGTTCACGCACGTCATTTTCTCCGAAAGAGAAAACAGGGACCAGATCCGCACTGTTTATATAGGCGTTAGCTGTAGACCGTGGACATGAGGTACACTAACCCCTGCTGCATAGCAACTTTGATGAACCCAACACTGTTTATGAACTTACGATTAATAACGGGACGAGATAAAGGGTAATGAGGCTTACCGATTCTGTAGTGTTAGGTCAGCAGTGCCTGGATGCGCACTGAGACTTTCTGCTGCGCCACCAATGACGATGCAGATCGCATTCCCTTTTCCTTTTTGGAGGATGTAGTTGCAGCTCTTTTTACTGACGGAGCAAATCCCTAATGCCATCAACAAATCGCGGTACAGAGGTAGCTTGAAGTTCGAAGTTAAGGTCATAAGATAAGGTGTGATTCCGGG